AAGGGCTCGGCGAAGCCAAGTTCAATGTGAATCTTACGGCATTCACGGGAGACTGGGGTATTTCGCCCGTGCTCTGTGATCGTCTTCTCAGACGACTAACACGAATCAGGACGGCCACAGCGGGATGGGCCTGCACTGCGAGCTATTGCCATCATCGGATATGCCAAGTGGCTCGTCAGTAATGGGCATGCTTCGACAGCTGAAGACGTATTATGGCCCGTTGTCCAGAACGACCTCGCCTACGTTGCTCAATACTGGTACAATAAGTATACTCTCGTCTGAATGTACCCTCACTTACTGGATTTGCAAGGAACCAAACGGGCTTCGACCTCTGGGAGGAAGTCTATGGAAGCTCGTTCTTTACGGCAGCGAGCCAGCACAGAGGTTCGTTTGCAATACGCGGAAGATTCTGTTTGAACACTAACACCTGCCGTTCAACCAGCTCTCGTTGAGGGTGCCTCGCTTGCCCGAACTCTTGGATTTCGATGCTGGTCTTGTGAGGCCATTGCCCCTCATATCCTATGTTTCATGCAATCCTTTTGGTCACCATCGGCCAAACACACCCTCGCGAACAGTGAGTTTTTCTGGGTGCCACCGCATACGTCTTCGGCATCTGACGCTAACTCCCACACCAGTCCATCACGACAGCAAAAGATCGGGTCTAGATGCGAACTCCATTCTAGGTTCTATCCACACTTTCGACCCTTTCGCTGGCTGCGACGCTGCGACGTTCCAGCCCTGCAGTGACAGAGCTTTGGCAAGCCACAAGGCAATAGTTGATTCCTTCCGCTCCCTGTACAGCATCAACGACGGCATCTCCCCCTCGTCTGCTGTAGCGATCGGTCGGTATCCAGAAGATGTGTATTATGGCGGCCAGGCATGGTACCTGACGACACTGGCTGCTGCTGAGCAGCTCTATGACGCACTCCTTGTCTGGAAGCTTCAAGGATCCATCACTGTCACAGAGGTCTCCCTATCCTTTTTCCAACCACATCTGCCCTCTATCACCACAGGAACCTATGATAACCAGACGTCAGCCTATGCCAGCTTGACGGATGCCATCTTCACATATGCAGATGGATTCGTCAAGATTGTAGCCAACTTTACGCCAGTCGATGGAAAGCTGGATGAACAATTCGACCGCGATACTGGCGAGCCCCTTTCAGCGCGGGATCTTACTTGGTCTTACGCCTCTTTCCTGACTGCCATTAGGCGACGAGCTGGCCTTGAGTCCCCTGGCTGGATCAAAGCAGATGCTACGCTGGCCCCGGCGACTTGCTCAGCAACGTCGGTGTTTGGCGTGTACACCTCAGCGACAGCAACAACCTTTCCACCAAGCTTAGTCCCAGGCACACCACCCTCGGAAACCCCCCCTCTCAAACTGCCCAGACCCTCAACGTGCCTAGTCAGATTCCAAGAGCGTGTATCAACCCGGGTAGGACAGGATATACGGGTCGTCGGAAACGTGCCGGGTTTGGGAAGATGGGATCCCGGGCATGCCGTGCCCTTGGACGCCTCGCAATACACGGCCACGGATCCGTCGTGGCGCGTGACAATCCCTCTGCCGGCGGGGCAAGTGGTAGAATACAAATATGTGATGCTTGAAAGTGATGGCTCCGTGGTCTGGGAAGCAGGCAGCAATCGAGTGCTGACAGTACCCAGCGAGTGCGAGGGGGAGCTGGAGAGGCCTGATGAGTGGCAGAGCTGATAGGGGCTTGCCTGCTTGTGAGTTTCCTTTAGTATTCAGCAATAGTTAGGTTGATAAATTGAGAACCTATATTTTTCCTCCCTTCATTATGATGCCAGTCCATCACGGACGGTGGCCGATCTGGCTACGACATCGTCGGATCTGTGCCCACACGTCGCTGGCACCGGGTCTCCAGGCTTCATCGTCGGCAAGATGTGACCAATTTCTGTCATCCAAGGAGTCATCCAAGAAGTTCAAGCATCTACCGCTACTGGCTTCAGCCGCCTTTCCAGCTCGGCCATGACAGTATCAACCGCCCACTCCAAGGTCTTCTCCATATCGACATCCAGCTCGTCACCCTCCTGCGCCAGGATGCCATTCTCCCGTAACACCCTGCGGTCCAAGGCCCCCTCGACATGACGCCCCTCAAACAACCAGCCGTGCGCATCAGCATAGTTGGGCCAGACAACGGCGTCCACGTACCCCGGCGGGTCCTTCCAGAACCCCTCGAGCGTGACGTACCCGTCCCTGGCCTCGCGCCTGTGCGTCGCCCGCGCGCGGCTGACAGTCAGGAACAGCTTGACGTCGATGAGACGCATGGCGGCCTGCATCTCGCTGCAGTAGAGGAGGAAGCCGTCGAAGAGACAGAGGCGGAGGCCCGAGGCGAAGACGGCGTGGCCTGGCGCCGAGGGACGGAGCCAGGCGGCGACCTTGGCCTGGAGAGCTGCGATCTTGTCGGTGCTGACGGGGCAGGCGCCCACTGAGTTTTGGTCCTCCTTCGAATCGACAAACGGCTGCAGGTTTGGGTTAGAGGGAGAGGGGGCGAAGCAGGAGAGAGGTCGAGGGGAGACAAGGGAAGGGACGTACGGGGAATGTGCCGGAGGTGCGGATATGCGCGAGGGCCTTTTCCATGTCCGGGATGTTGATCGCTTGGGGGCAGTCCCAGTCTAGGAGGCCGTTCTTGGAGGGCAGTCTGTGAGGCGAGATACATGTCAGCTGGGCTACCTGGCTGTCGAGGGGAATGGTCTGTGGATGTACTCTTCTTCCGCGCGGTAGAAGTCATCCTCGTGGAGAATAAAGGTGTTGGGAAAAATGTCGCGGAGGAGACGGGCGAGGGTTGTCTTGCCGCTGGACGAGCAGCCGCTAAGGGCCACGACGACGGCTTTCTGGTCCGTCATGAGGGACGACGCTCGACGAGTGAATGGCTGTTTCGGGGGAGGCGGGTGAGGTGAGGTGCTACAAGTGAGATGAGTCTGGGGCTACTGATTGGAAGCTTAGAGTTCAAGTGGG